GGTGACGCACTGCCTCTCATTTTTCTCGTCTCGATGAGTATTTTCTGTCTGTCTATTCAAAAACAAGTTTTGTCGAAAGGATCAAATCGAAATATGCATGAACAGTACATCGACGTGAAGAAAACGAGCAAAAAACGAGACCGAAACAAAAAATTGGCAGAATACACTTCAATTTCAGAGGCTATTCACATGCATGATCAAGAAACAAGTGGGTTCTGATACAAATGTGGAAAAAATACATTCCTCGATCAATATATTTGAAACATATTCGAATAACACGAAAATGTGCCCAATAATCATCAACTTATATCACCAATCATGCAGGCATATGTGAACATACTCACTATTGCAATAGATTAAAAGCCACTTTGCACACTTGAGAGTGATCCCCGATTATTTTTAGTACCCACTTGTGTTTCGAAGGAAAACAGGAGAAGACGTTCTTTCAAAGATGTGTATTATTGTGTATATGAAAAATCACATTCGTTTTCCTTTGGGAGTCAACTATTTATAGTAAAAGGCAAATAACCACCCTCTGGGCCTTATAGTTCATGGGCTGGGTTTGGCCTATCTAGGGCGGCTCACCCATTATGTTTTTCATCACTTGTAAAAGATCTTATTATCTTGAGGTGATTGGGTATTCAGATTCAGACATAGCCAGAGAAGCATCCGCGCTCACGCCAAAGATGTCGAGATTTGTTGTGTCCTTCACCATCCTCCTCTCTCTACCAAAAAAATAAAATGTGTACGAGCATCGGAAACAACTAATGACTTAAATGAACATGACATAGCCGCGAAAGAAAATCTCATATGATGTCAAGCATTTATAATGACTTTGTGGTTTATCTATAAGAGTCAGAAATTGACTTAGGAATTGATAATTATCTAGGTTCATTTTCACAAGCCATGGAATGTGATGATTCTATTAAATGGTTTGATGCCATTGGAAGAAGAGTTAAAATCTATATATGAGAATCAAGTTTGGGATCGTGTTGAATTATATCGACTGATTTGAGGGCTTTTTAGTTAAATGAAAGAAACATATGGTGTGTAAGTTGAAGAAATCAATATATGAATTTAAGCAGGCTTCCTGAAAATGGTATCTTAAGTTTAACGATACCATAACTTTCTTCGGATTTAAAAAAAAGACTCAATGTGTGTGTTTGTGAAGGTCAATGAGAGCAAGTTTATGTTTCTAGTTTTGTATGTTGATGACATTTTTCTTGCTATTAATGATTATGGTTTGTTATGTGAAACCAAGAAATTTCTCTCTAATAATTTTGAAATGAAAGATATTGGAGAGGCAACATATGTGATAGGAATAAAAAAATTCCGTTATAGATCACAAAAATTATTAGGGTTGTCCGAGAAAGCCTACATTGATAAAATTTTAGATAGATTCGATATAGATAAACGTTCAGCAAGAGTAGTTCCAATTTAGAATGTGGACAAATTTAGCCGTATGCAATGTCCGAAAAAAGAATTGGAACAAGAGTAAATGAGAAATTTTCCTTATGCATCTGTTGTTGGGAGTTTGATGTATGCTCAAACTTGCATCAAACTAGATATTAGTTTTTTTGTCGGAATGCTGGAAAGGTATTAAAGTAACCTAGGAAAGAATCATTGGAAAGCCACAAAGAAAGTTCTTAGATACCTGCAAGGAACTAAGAATCATATACTCATTTATAAAAGATCGGATCATTTTGAGGTGATTGGATATTCGGATGCAGACTTAGCTGGAGAAACATTCACGCTTACGCTTAGGCTATCGTAATATGTCGTGTCCTTCACCATCTCCCTCTCTCTATCCAAAAAATAAAATGTGTATGAGCATCAGAAACAAATAGTCGCTTAAATGAACACGACATTGTGGGTTCCAAACTTCATACACCCACAAATGTTAGAGATAATGCAATAAAAAAATGCGGAAATTTATAATCAAAGAATTTTAGATCTTCATATTTTTTCACAACAAAAGGGACGAAGACACATACACTTATACATAATAATAACTTTGAGAAAATGATTATTGTAGAAATTGAATAAATGAAGAAATTTGATTTCTCTCCTTTAACTCACTTCTTCTTAATGTATTTTATCTGATGGAGGAGGAGTTCCTCCTAAGGAAGCAGGGCCTATGGTAGCTGAGAAGATTGACTCAAGAACAAATTTCATCGGGGGCTCCATCGTAGAATTCAAACCTGATCGAGAATACAACTTTTGTTGTCCTGTGTGGGTGGAGAGGACCAAACTCCTTTTATAAGCTATCAACAGGTGCCTTCAATGAGTGCCTTCCATCAAAGTACATAAAATATTCTATCTTCATAAAAGTTACAACTTATATTCTGTCTTCATAAAAGTTACAACTTCTCATATTCTGTCTTTATAAAAGCTACAAGTTCCAATGTACCTTCTATAGGGCAAGTATAGAGAACAGGGCTCACCTTTTCTTCCAATGTGAATGGACAGGTAGCATCTGGCGCAATATTCTTGCGCAACATGGGATCAGGCGTAATGTATGAGGATGGAATGAGGAGCTTCAATGGATGGCTAGAGCAACAAGAGGCAAAGATTTGGCAGCAAAACTCCTCAAAGTATCTTTCCTAGCGATCGTATATTGCACTTGGATGGAGCGCAACCATGCGCTTCAAAACAATCCAACCGACATTCGATTATTTTGGCGAAGGTGCGGAAAAATGTAAGAGGTAGAGCTTCGCTATACCAAAAATCAAACCTTCGCAAGCTAACGTTGTTTTAGCTACTTTATGGAGACTTCCTACCTCCATATTCTCGAATTATTAGTACTAGTTGTAATGCTAGGGAATGCCCCTAAGCTGCTGTACATCATCTGTTATATATTACTTACATTTTACATAAAAAAAAAAAGCTACAAGTTCTCATATGATGTCTTCATAAAAAATTACAATTATTCGTAAACAAAACGTTTTTTAGCATTTAAATAATTATTAAACCATTAATTGATGTGACCCACAATTATTTTTACTTTCTCCCACTTGGTCCATATGACCTTTCTTTCATGGTTTAATAAATACCATAATATGCACAATAACATTATGCTAAAACCTTTCTTAAATTGGTTTCGCATAATAATCACAATTAAATAAAGAAAACTAATGCAAGTCATGGAAGTTGTATGTCATTAATTGACATAGTCCCTTCCAGACACAGCCTTAGTAGGTTCCAAACTTCGTGGATGACCATCAAGGTGAGTCTTCTCATGCTTCACAACATCGGATTGTTAGAGAGAGAGAGAGAGGACAGACTATAACCAAGCAAAATGGAGGTCATGATGGCGCAGACGAAGGCATACTTGTCACCGCGCAGCTTCGTCGGAGGATTGAAGTCCTCGATCGACTTCAGTTGGACATTGCCGTTGACTTTAGAATCACTACATGTCTTCTAATGCCTACAAAGCAAGTCAATTGGCACTTTACGTAAGTCAATCAGTGGCGTAGAGCTACAAGAGCAATTTGTGTTGAGTGAAGTAATCGAAGGAAACAGAGCAAAATAGAAAATATGACAAATGATAAAGGAGAACATATTTCCTTGCAAAATAGTTTAAGGTTCTCGCCATAAAAGAGGAAGAGAAAGGCAAACTTATATTGATCTATTCTTTGAGAGTTTCTTGAAACTCATTATTACTATTATGTTCCTGTACCTGTGAGAGCTCTGTTAAGCGATTCTAGATCCTCAAGACTCCCCTCCTTTTCCCTGGAATCTGCCATCAAAAAATTTACTTTTTTCAAAATCTCGACATTATCCTTGTCTTCCATTTGCTTCGTGACATTTAGGGCGCGAATGACAACATTTCTCTTCCCTCGCCCTATTTTTGGCTAGAAATAAAAAATATATATATTTCTCTTTCTCGAACGAGTTTCTGAACAAAAAGTAGCGTTTGATAACGATACAAAATTTCTATTATCGGAATAAAAATTCGTTTGATAACGATACAAAATTTCTGTTCCCGGTTGCCGATGAGCGGCAGCGGCGGCGGAGGACAGCTGGCAAGCGATGACGGCAGGCAACGGCAAACGACTGGCGAGTGGTGGTGGCGGACGGCTGGCGATTGGTGGCAATGGATGGCGGCGGCGGCAGATGGCCGACCGATGAGCGAAGGTGACGAACGGCGGCAGTGGCGGACTGCCACAAGTGGCAGGGGTGGGAGGCCGGCAAGCGGTGGAGGCGGGCGGGCAGGCGGCGAATTTCTTTTCCAAATTTATTTATGTGCCAAAATTTGTCCCATAAATTAAAAAAAATAATAAAATTATTTTACCAAACGAATTTTTGTTCCAAACCTATTCATAGGAACAAAAAAATAAAAAAAATAGGGAAACAGAATGTGGTTATCATTCGCGCCGTTAACGATTCTCTCGGTTGTTCAATTTCCAATTCCAAGGCTTGTTTTGCATCAAAGTGCTTTTCCAGTTGAATTATCCAATTCTGGACTTCATCTTTATGCCTTTGGAACATATAAGTGTCAAAAAGGAAAAATATGAAAAGATATGCATTCTCTTTATGAAGAGAACACTTTTTGTTCTTTAGACAATTTAAACTTTTTCATCAGCTTTTTGTTGCTCCAAAGCAGTCAATTTAAGGGACTGCTCTTAAGGTCATTATAATGTAAAAAAGAGGATAGCCTCAAAAAATAATTATACTCTACAAAGCACGCATAAATAATCTCATGACACTGAAATTTATTTGTAACAGTATTGGCATCTAAATTTTGACGACTCTATTAATCATTTATTACATAGAAAATTAGGGATCAATCCCGACCCCTAACCAAAAAAATTAATTAAAATGCATATAGATATTAAAAGCATTTGCATTAGTACTTAATAAGCCCACATAATTCACATATTAATTGGACCGATGGCGAATGGACTCAACTGATTGGCCTTGAACTTAATTGAGCCCATAAAAGAACGAAATTTTGGCCAAACCCATTGCACATATTAAATGGTCGAAATTTGGCATAATTAAAATGCCGAGTCAGAAAATTGGTTCGTTAAGATTAAATTTTAGAAGTAAATTTGGACCCATGGCAAGTAAGGAAAAGATGGGCATTATTTTCTTGATATTCAGCCTTCAACGACTTTGCTGTTCTGCTCCGGATTGCTCCCGCTCTTCACCAAGCCCAGACCAGTCCCCGGCGCTGCAAATAGTCCGATTCACTTTTGTCAAACTTTTTGCAGGTTTCCCGGTGGTCACAGCTTGCTCCGGCGGCCTTCCTCTAAGCAAGCTTCCTTTTAGCGACGATTCCAGCGAGCCCCGGAGCTGCAGGCTGCCTGGCGTTGTTCCTGTCGATCTGCACGGGTGAATCCCAGCAGAGTCACCTCAGCCCAGCGAGTTCTGAGCAGCACCGGCGAGTCTCTTCGCAGCCTCCATCGCGCCTCACCAGCTGCAGCAGCCCAATTCCGATGCCCGACGCACCAGATCAGGTCATCTCGGCGCCTTCTTTCTGGGCGAAATTCCGCGCCAATCCAGCCCGTAGCATGCTCCACACGCTCAGATCATCCATCACACACGAAGGGTCGAGCGGTGGCCAAAATAGCTACAGTTGGTAAAAAAGTGCTTCTTTAGGATTCCTTCATCTTCGGTCACTTGGAGTGAACCTAATTATACACGTATAAATCATATTTTGAATTATACTCGAGTAAAAATAGTTCAATTTTAAACTTATTTTATGTTTTTTTCTTATTGGTCAATGAACGATGTAACATGTCAAAGACTGATTTACATGCCCAAAATATGAATATTTTATCTCAAATTTACAGAATGATATTCTTGTGATTTTTTTATTGGACGACACGAATTAGTAATAAAGTTCAATTATTAGATACGACATTTCTATAAAATCTTGTAATGTAAACATCCCTACTAAAACTTAAGCATTTCTTGTTTATAATACAATTGATGTGAAATCATGATAACATCATTGTACAATTCTATTATAGCAACCGAACCCTTTCGACATACTTTTAAGGAACATAACGAGATATATAACCATCCATATATTGAATCGCTTTATTTCCGTTCCGCATATTACTAACAGAGTAAGCGATGCATTCATCTGAAATGACAGTAGTTATTTTGTAGGTGATGTATTCATCTGAAAGCATCCATAGACTATGTAAAATGTCTAACCAAATATGACATTATGAACATTTTCGATTCAATGAGACGCAGGATCGCCTCGCAAGTTCTACACACCGTTAGCTTTCCCTATTTCTGATGCTTGGGGATGAATTGCTCAGAGATAAAGATCAATCGAATGATGCAAAAACGTATGACTCCACTTGAACACCTAAGCATTCTCTCCACAAGTCGCCTATCAAAAGACAGATTGAGCAGATAGAATGTACAAGGGATTGAACTGTGAATGACCCAGGAAGCTGATGAAAGTAGGAACGGTTTTAACTGACGTGAATCTCGTCGACTTTCCTCCAATTACCCTGTATAAACAAGCCTCGACTAGATGAAAAGCTCTAGTTAATTGTGATGGTGCATTAAGTGAGGAAGTTCTGGTGGTGGTGTTGATGAGAAAATCAAGCCAGTACTTGCTGGATCATCAGAGGTAACTGAAGCTGTAGCCATCAAAGACGGCAGCTTACAAAGGATGAAGGATGGATCTGACCCAATACAGTCGTTGAGACTAATTTAGAGATTGTTGGGAAGGGCAAGGCTTTGTAGCTGGGAAAACGACGCTACAATCAAAGACATTAAAGCTTTGCTTTCTTGATTATGTATCTGCAGATGTCAAAGTAGTTAGAAGGCAGGCCTATGAAAGTGCAAACTGCTCAGCAATGCAGATATGCCATTTGATCTTGATCCCCCAAAAGAACTCTAGTGAAGTGAGCCAGATGCTAACAATGGACCAAAGGTACATTCCAAATGATGTAACACGAAATTAGCTTATCAGAAATCAGCGAATGGAGCGCTTTTCTTCGTGGGTTAACGAGGGCCGTCATTCAATTTCGTGCAGATGCCCACTTCAGTCCAAATCATAAAATTCAACAAATGCAGCAACACTCTAAACCTCTTTCTTGTGCTCAAGAAATGCGAGCAAGAGAAACAGACATGCTAATCAACATAACATAGGGACTACTTCTGCGAAGTCCGTGCACAATTTAGACTTGGCAAGAACTCGTACACCGAATTTCATTGATAAACTCAAGAAATGCTACAAGCCCACAAAACCAACATATAAATCAATATAACACAAGGAGAAAGTGTATCGCAATGCACTAAAAAGCAATTTTTATTAACCTAATGAGTCCCACAGCAAAGCTCAGAGATCAGTCATCAGCATGAAAGAGCCTGTCACTGCACATACACAGTGATCATTAGCCCTCGATCATGGCAAGGCATCAAGAACAAAGTCAAAAGGTTGAGTTACTACTTCCCACTCGTTTATCTACTTCATCCTCGCCCTTTCTTACCCAACCAATTTTGAATTTTGAATCTCAAACCAAGATTCAAGATCAAGTCTTACCGGAACCGGATCATACCCAACTTAGACACTCTACTTCTTTCCACCCTTCTTGCTCGACCCAGTATTCGTCCTGTGAATCTTCCGCTTCCGCGTGAGGGCGAACTCGCCGAACTTGTGACCCACCTTGTCCTCGGTGATCTTGGAGCGGACGAAGTTCTTCCCGTTGTAGATCCGCACGGTGGTGTTGACGAACTCCGGCAGGATGGAGGACCGGCGGGACCAGATCTTCTTGTTCGAGAGGAGGTCTCTCCTGTCCTTGATCTTCGACAGGAACGCGTCCACGAAGATGCCCTTCCATAAGGATCGCCCCATCCTCTTCGCTTTCGGTTCCGGGCCCCCTGATCAGATTCGCTCTGTTTTTCAACTTTCAAGAACCGAAAGAAAAGGAAAAGAACGACAACAGAGGCACTGTTCAGCGGCTGGACAGCGACAAGAAGGTTGGGGGAGCAAGGGCGACGGACCTTGAGACCGGCGGCGGCGGCGGCGGCGAGGCCGGAGAGAGAGAGATAGTCGGCGACAGAAGACGTACAGAGAGAGGAAGAGAAGAGGATAGAGGCGGACGACAAACGAAAGAGAGTTTCTAGGGTTTTTCCTTGCTTCTCCTTCGATCTTAGAGGGGTATTTTAGTAAATTTATCATCTTTTTGTAATGGGATCACAACACAAACAGTCCCTGAACTTTAACAAAATGTATAATTTGATCCCTAAAATTTTAATTTAACCTAATCCCTAAACTTTAGCCCGATATTCAATATGGCCCCTAAACTTTTAATTTGTTCAATGTGTTCCTTGGACTTTTTCATACATATTTAATGTTGTCCCCGATATAGTCCCCGAACTTGAATTAATGAAAGTACCACATTAAACATTTTCATATAGTTCAGGAACTAAATTGAACAAATTAAAGATTTATGGACCACATTGCACATGAAGTTAAAGTTCAAGGATCACATTGAACAAATTAAAAGTTCATGAACCATATTACACATCAAGTTAAAGTTCAAGAACCACATTGACAGATTAAAAGTTTATCGACCACATTACACATCGGATATGACTATTTGTGTTATTTTCCCTTTTGTAATTGATTTTTTTTTTGTCGAATGTTGTAATCGATGAGTCTTTCTATTTTACTTCTGCAAATTGTTCTCAATTAATATTTTGTAAATGTTGTGTTTACAGATAAATGCGTGAATTAATAATTCTATATCATCTCAAGTACTTCAGTTTAATTTTTAAACTGAATCTCTCTTATAAACAACATTACCAAGTAAACCCAAATCTTGACTATCTTTCTACATATATATTAATCAATTTCTCATATTTTATCATCAATTTATTTCCGTTAATTCATAAAACTCAAAAATCTTGTAATAATGCAATTTTGCAAAATCTTTTGAATGTTAATTTTTCACATGCCCGCAACGTGTGTGCCTTTTTGCTAGTTCGCATTGCGTGGTACAAAAATTTGACATTGCATCTATAAAATTGTTTAAGTGTCTATAGTTTGTTCAAGTTTTATCGGCTTTCAGCCAAAATGCATCAATTAGAAAAAGTTGAATTTTTTTTTTTGTATATTGAGTAATCGATATCGAATAAGTATCACTAACCTCCCAAGGCAACTTACATGTTTTATAGAATAGATTACGAATACACATTACTTGTCCGAAAGACATATTTGAAAATATCACATGCGAGTAAAGCAAGACTAATATCAGCCCTAACCCCCATCCCACCAAAAATTTGTGAACCCGCCTTAATCCTAATTTTATTAAAGGGATAGGCTCTTCTCTTTCCAGAAACATTAATGAAAAAGACTCGATTTATGATCTGAACTCACATTGATCCATAGACCGAATAAACCGAGTCGGAAGCTAGTTTAACTTGCCTGATTGCTGGGTCTACTTGATATTTGAACTGTCAAATTTAAGTGAGTGGTGTCTTGAACCCATAAAAAGTAAAAAAGATAATTCTAGTTTTAAGAAAAAAATGTCATTCACCTAGCTAATATAACAATAAATTCGTCCGACTGATATGATTTTGCTAAAATTACTATTTTTAGACAGCAAGAATAAGAACATGAATTATTTAATTGGGTTCTATTTGTAATGCTGGGGAATGCTCCTAAACTTCTGTATGTCATCTTCTACATACTACTTACATTTACACCAAAAAAAAAATTTATTTAATTGGGATAATGACACAAATGGTCCATGAACTTTGGCCCAATATACAATGTGATTCCTGAACTTTTAATTTGTTCAATACGGTCCCTGACCTTTGGCTCAATATGAAATGCGGTCCCTAATATTTTAATTTATTCAACGTGGTCCCTCAACTTTTGGTAAATGCTTAAATTAGTCCTTGGACTATATGAAAATATATAATATTATCCTCCCATTAATTTAAGTTCAGGAACAATATTGAATATTTTCATATAGTCCAAATACTAGTTTGAACATGTACTAGACATTCAGGGACCACATTGCATATTGGTCGAAAATTCAAAGACCACATTGAATAAATTAAATATTCAGTGATTACATTGCATATTGAATCAAAGTTCAATGATCATTTAGATCGTTTTCCCTATTTAATTATCTATTTTTTTTCTTTTCTAAGATTTTACTATAATATTATTATGACACATCTTTTTATCCTAGAAAAGGTTTTGACCAAATAAGTGTACGCGTCACTATTCCTATCGTGCCAAAAGGCACATGATCATCGCCAGTTCCCATGATCGTCCACGAATAGAGTAATGTAAATTTTCTGAAAATATCGATCTTCCAAAAGTTAAAAAAAAAACTCATACTATTTCATCGCAATTATCAAGCCGTGAACCTTTCCTCTAATCTTCCAACTAGATCCAACCACCTTAACAATTATATTAGAAGTCACTTATGAGTATTTCTGAGAAACTTATCAAGCAACCAAATAGGAAAATTTTTGTAATTTTCAAGCGCGGCTTTGCTCGCGCCTTATGCATATGAGAAAATCGAAATATTACTAGGTTAACTTTGTTAAAATTACAAAAACAAAGAAGGGTTTGGCTATTTACTCTCATTCTTACCCTAGTCAACTAGCCCAAGACCTAGTTACGAGGATCCAGCAGCCAAAGCAAGGTATAATGAATGCCTAAGCTAACCCTAATCGAAAATGATGTGCAAATAGAGTTGGCAAGGACCATAAAATCTCTTTGCTTTTTGGCTTATTGAGTTGGACCCATCCTCTTTTGAGGGCTAAGAGAGGAGCTACACAAGGAGGGAGCAACAAAAGCAGATCAAATGATTGAGAAATTCAAGTGAAATGCTTGCTCATCTCATGTTTGTAGCTCGGATTATGATTAATGGTGGTTATTTTCATTGGGCAGGTCTCATTTATTGTATCGTCTTTTTTGTAATTTTAGTTATTTATGAGTGCTCTTGTCCAAATTTAAAAGCGTGGGTTTTAATTTTAAAAAAGCTAAAATATCTTTCGATTAGTAAAAAAATGAATAATATTATGCTTTTACACATTTGGGTTCTCTGAATGTGGTAATGGATTGTGTTGTGTGTAGCCGCATTGATTTTGTTACGTACATAGGAATCGTGATAAAATCGGATACTTTATAATATTTCCATCTTTACGTATTCTACTGTGTAATGTGTAGTTAACTTAATTTTCTTATGTGTATAATCGTGACAGATAGATATTCTACAATGTTTCTCTCGACTCACAGTTATTGTACTTAGTCGATGTTCTTGCATTCATAAATATTATTTATGAATGTTGAGATTTCAAAAGATTTTACTTTCTTGGCAAATTCCTTAAATTAGTATTTAACAAGAAAAGACTCCTTCCATTAAATTTAGTGCATTTAATGTCCAAAACTTTTTTTTTCCACAAGCAATGCTCATCATTATGCATACAGGAAGGCACGCTTATCTTGAATTATAGTCTTTTGGAAAGCAAACCAAGTTTAAAAAAAATAATAACCTAGATTGATACTCATAAGTTTTTAAATCAAGGCATGTCAAGAAAGCCATAAGCTTAACTGCAACTTAATTATATCAACCTTTACTATTGTAGCGACTAATAAAAAACTCTAGATAAGCAAGTCTAACGACAACCGTGGACCAATTGATATGGGTCGTGCGCCAGATATTGAATCCAAGCACTCTTTCTTCGTCAGAATCAGGACAATGAAGTGAGGTTAAAAATGACTAACATCGTCAATCTGAACGTGTATGGATAGAACTTATAACGGAGTCTCGAGAAACTCTGAAACCCCCGAATCTGGAGCGCTCTCGAAAGAGTCGGGCTGGCTTTGAACCTGCATGCCTATGACTTCGTTATCCTTACCAACATTACTCCATGGGATTCTTTAAGTATATGAGATGTCCGGTTCACTATTATTCCAGCATTTAACTTCCTCTTCAAGATCACAAATTTAAGAGCATAAAGAAAAGGAGGAAACAAAAGAGGTAAAGAGGGAAAGCCCAAAAGTCAAGAGGGCATACTTTTTGGGGGCACTTGCTCTTCAAATTGTTCTCCTTTTTTGCCATGACCCGTTTGAATTCTCTCCCCTTTTTGCTGTCCAGAGAATGTGATGAGTAGCACCTTATACAAACTTACTAATCCAACATGACATTGCAGGTTCACATTAAAAAGGTGCGTACCTTTCGTCATAGTTCATCGATCGAGAGAAACTTGACGATCAGGCTCTGAAATTTCTATCGGAAATTTCGTCGATCGAACTATCTTTTGTTCTAATTCGGTGAAAAGATAACACCCGAGCCTTTTCGGTGATGATTTCATTGAGTATACATATACATAATATCGGCCAATTGCATCTCGCCGTAAAGTTACCTAAGTGATGGTATTGAAGCAAAATTAAACTAACCATACCGACATCTGTGCTCTCTCTGCAATTATTCACCAGTCAAAACAAGCCTGGTTCAGCTCAAACCAGACCTGCCTGAACACCTTGATGATGAGATCGTGATACTCGTCCGAATTTAGCGTCAAGTAACAAGCCAAGAGCTCCTCCATGTCCTCCGACTGCCGGATCCGCCTCTCGACGATCATCTCCACCATCGACTCCCTGAAGTCTCTCTGTGGGTCGTACGAGCACTTCACCAGCGCAAACCTCTCCAATCTGTTGGCCTTGGTATTACCCGCGCCGCCCTTCTTAGTCTTCGTCCTCGCCCCCGTGGACTTCGAATTCGCCTTCTTCGCGTCCTCGACCAGCGATCGTGGCCTGCGCACCTCGATTCTGACAGTTCTCGGGGAATGAACTCGGACCCCGCTGCTCTGCTTCAGCCTTCGCCGTGGTGGCTCCCTTCTGCTTATGTAGAGGGATTTCCTCTGTTTCTCTCTGCTCGTGCCGTCGCGGTCGCTTGTTTCCTCCGGTTTCTGCATCTCGGGAATCGATTTCAAAGGAAATTCACAGTCTTCAACCGATTTTCGCGATGAGATCGAATAATTGGACGGAATGCGGTCCTGATTCTTCGCTTCCAAGACCTTTTCATCGCTCCTAATTCCGAATTTGCGTTCCCTTTTGACCTTTCTCCTTCTTGGAGTCTTCAGCTCTGCTTCTCTCTCTGCGGTCTCGACTTTTATCTCCGGCAAGCTCTTCGATCTTCTCTGACTATCTCTCCTCCTCCTGATACCCGACACCATCTCTTCAAAATCGTTGGTCTCCTCCTCCCCGTCTGATCTGCACCAAATCGGCCCGAGCGAATCTCCGCTGGAATCCCCTTCCAAGTCGAACATCCTCCCTCCTTTGAAGGACAGCCTCCAGAAACCACCATCGCCTTCCAAGAACCGACCCTCTTCTTCCCCCTCGACGCCGCCGCCACGTTCCGGAGGAGAGACCACCTCCGACGGAGAATTGTAATGCCTCGTCGCCGCGGGGCTCAAGCTCCCCGGCCTCAGAGCATGATCGGGGCGACCTCGACGGTGGTCGGTGCGATTGACCCCGATTTTCCTGAGCTTCAACAGCCAGGAAGACAGCAAAGAAGGGCGGGGCGAGGACGGAGCAGCACCCGAGAAGGGCTTGATTCGTCTCCTCGTTCTCGATCTGCCCAGCTTCATAATTCGGGCGAAAAGCTCTGCTCTTGAGGGTGGGAAGCAGCTTCAGGATCGCAGGAAAGAAGAAACAGAGGAGGTTGATGGTGATGATGGAGGAGTCAGGGGACGGTTAGGGGGGGAGGTGAGTGAACGTGGTGGTGGGGGGGAACGTGGGATCGAGAGGGTTTGGGTTTTCAGTGAGGAGAGAGACTTCTTCCTCTTCCTTTTTCAAAAGAAAGGCCCGCCATATATCTCGTGACCACTTTCCCTTTCTTTCTCTCGCTTTTTATGTACTCGGAAAGAGATGGGGGACTCTCTCTCTCTCTCTCTCTCTCACTGCATTTATATACCCTTATAGCTAGTCACATTGGACCTTAGCACGACCTCAAAAAGCTCAATATTGGTTCTTGTCCGGACCTTGAGATCACTTAGATGTAAAACTTTCATGGGATATCTCTTCTGCCTAAGGGAGAAAAAGATACAAGGAGAATTGGGGATACGAGGAGTGCGAGTACCGACACGTTAAAATAAAAAATGCATCTGTGAAACTCACCCTATAGGATGGGGACAGACCGCGAAGGCCCTCGTAAGAGTTAAAGTTCTTTACCTTTGATGAGGTTACCTCTTAATCGAACACCAAGAATCCAATGGATTGATTATATATACGTCGTGCAAATCTAAATCAAATTATCAAGAGAAAAATGACATGTCTCATCTTCATATTTTCATGTTACACCCATGAGCGCATGTCTTTGCCCTAGTCTTATTAGGAAAAGTTGGTTTTCCTTATTTGGTCTTATCCACATTGATATCATAATGTATAGTTTATTATGGATGAGAAGAAACTTGATGCTTATGTTCTCCATATAGGTTTTAAGTGAGTTTTGAATACCAAGGTACCATGACAACATTTCTTGGGTAATTAATTTAAAAGGAAAAGAGATTGTATATACTATATGTATAGCAAGTAAAGAAATTTTCCGGTGATTAATATTCTAAAAGTTTGGACTTAAATTTTCAAGATTAATTGATGAGTATGCAATTTTTTTTCCAAGTCGAAAAGGATGACAAGCATTGGCAAACTGTAAATCATCCATCGGCAAATGTTCAGTTTCAGGTTGCAGCCCACAACCATTTCCCGTTGGGCTAGCCAGTCATCCCTGTCCCTGCTCCATCAAGGTGTGAGTGGAGAGCTCAAGGCCGATGATGCACTTTAAGCTCAGGCTCTTGTTTCGTAGAGTAACAAAAGTATCCTGAGATCGAGAATAGACTGGGGAATTGAACCTGTAACTTTAGGTTTGCAAAATTGAGTTCCAAATCACCAACCATCGGCTCGAACAACCACGGTGACAGTGAACATGTGATCATTCGATCATCTTCAATATAAAAATCGCATTGTTGAAAATTGGAGAAGATAGATACATCAATTCTTTCAACCGATAAGCCAAAATGTATATAGTAGTTTATGGCCATCACAATTGACATTTCCATCCATATTGGACTTTAAGGTCAGTGAAGGTGATCCTTGTGGTCCCCTACGGATCGATTTCTCAGCCTCAAATCGGCTTTTTGTGGCTGTGGTCTCTAGCCTTGATGTGTCCCATGTCGTACCATTGTTTTTAGCATAATGGAATGACAAGTAGAATGCATAGAGCCACTATTGTCGTGGAGTCCTAGAAACACAAGTGATTGCGCAACAATAATGTAACGTGATGCTCATTAATTTTCTTTGTTTTAGTACAATAATGTGGTATGGTAATTGCGCACATTTTGTTACAGTCTCTACATAAAGTATCGTACCGTACCGTACCATAAGAAATCTTAGAATAAATTAGAATTAACGGGTGGAATTTATTTTTATACAATCCAACGACTATCGGGTTTGTAGGAGCTCCCGTCTTTTGCCTTCTTTTTTCTTTTCCTTTTTTATTATTGGATATCTTGTTTTTACAACTTCTCCTCTTTAATCAAAACGGCCCGATTAGTCAAAATGAGAAAGAATAGAGGAATCAAATAATTTTCATTTCCTTGATAGCTGGAAATTTCAAGAGTGCTTGGGGTCGGGAGCCTAGAAGCCTTGGTCGCTCGGAAAGATAAATCTCTTATCTTTTCTTGTCCTAAAGATATCCATCTTGGAAGCGGACTTTACTAAAGAAAGGGAATGTTAGCAGACAAATATGGGTTTAATTGCCTTCTCGAGCGGCAGTCAACTGTTTCCGACATGACTCGCGTCACATAACGAATGTCTTGTTTTCAAATCAGCTTAAAAGAGTAATTAAAAACGTGAATGTTGCATCCAACTTAGGTTAAATGTGTCTTGATCGAAATACGGCCCTTTTTATGGTCTTTTGAGCATCTAAACACGCTTAAAATTTTCACAATATATAGTTAATATTTATTTTTCAATCCAACGGCTATCAATGTACCAAGAAATGATTCTGTAGCGATTGCAAAACTACCGGTAAAATAAGGACTTCGAAAATCAATGCATTAAATTTCATACCTATGTACAATTTAAAAAAAAAATACCTATCTGGGATCCCATTTTTGGGTTTTTTTATTAATGCTAATGTGACACTTCTGTAGATGTGACAATCCTCTTGTACCTTGGGATGACTCCCGCCCATGGTTCCATCTCCATCACACGGGAGTCCAACAGAATCCATGGGCGGCACGAAAACACACCCTTTTGTAGCTTTATTCGATGGGTAGTACCATTCCAAAGGTGTTCATCGAACGGATTAACAACGAATTGGGTCCGAAAGTCGAGTCTCGTGTGTTGTTTAAGCTTGCCCATCACATGAAATATTTTAAAAATTTCGAGCCGGGCAGGGCAAAAACTGAGCATGCCAAGCTTTTTTTTATGTAAAAGCATTGTCCATATCTGTCCACTCACCTCTCAAATCTGGGTAGACCGCTCGCCTATTCATCTATCTCTAGTTTGCATTTTTTGTTTTGGTCAAACATCTATGTCTAGTTCCTCCCCCAATGATGTGTAGGCTTTTTGTGCGTTTGATTTGTATACTAATGACGTCTATTATTTGCTGGAAAAAAGGGAAACATCTCTTTTCAATCGTTTTCTAGGGTCATGCTTGATCCCACCCATAATTACGAGTTGGCCAAGCTTAGCCAGACAGCAGACGTAGGCTGCCGCCCACCTCCTGATCGGTCGGTTTTTTTTGCATGTTTTGAGTGGTGCATGTAATATTAACTAGAAAGAGAAGAACATCAAATTGCAAAGTGGAAACAAAGATTTTTAATTGAACAAACATGCAGCCACCATAGCCGCCATGACGAGCCCCACCGGCCACCATCGCCGGCCTCCGCCTTTGCATCCCGGTGGATCTCTCTCTCTCTCTCCATCTTTTGTCTCCAACTCCATCTCCGAGTCACGCACTCTCCACTCCATCCAGTAGCACGATGCATTGCCGAGCTCCGTGCCGTCCATGGACACTTGAATGGATTAATTAGAAAAAATAATAATAATAACATCCGCGAATAATGTTAATAGTAACTTGTATCTAAGACATGAGGAACGCATCATAATTTTTTTGTTGGATAAAAATTGGCAGAAAAAGAAACTAAAAAAATCAAATGGATATTTCTATTTTTTATGATAAAAAGATAGCTCAATAAATAACATAAAATGAAAATACAAACTAAAAAGATAGACGAATGTTTAACACACCGACCTTAATTATGCCGGTGTCATTCGCGTCCACACACCACTTGGTGGAGCTAGAAATTTGATCGGGGGAGGAAAGGAGGGGGAAATTTGGAACACAAGTAATTTATTTTGTTTAATTACTTTAATGGGTGCATCAAATGAAAATAAAAATTGTAGAAAAAAAAGGAAGAACTAGAGATAGATTTATAAATCGAAATAGATTAATAAGATCGATATTAAACTTTTTGATCTCAAGATGATTCAAATTTCCCTCTAGGATGGCTAATTTATAGCATTAACACAAATTGGGTAGTATAGATATCGTCTACTATTTTTTTTTTGGTCGAAAGAAAATTGTATTCATTACTTAAAAGGATACATGAGAAGTACATAGAATTTCATGGAAAAACAAATCGAATTACAGCAAAACCCATGATACAACATAACAAAGCCAAATCCATAAAACAAGGAGGATCAATAGAACACTAATAAGGTTAAGCACACACTTATTCCAGAAAAATAGATATGTTAAGCAAAACAACCAGTGACTGATCACTGGATCTCGTATCATCATCAATGATGAACACACGATGAAAATTCATTCTACAATAACTACAGCGTTGCCATTTGACAGTGCATGCCTAGATTGGGCTTCCTTCATATTATCACCGTATGGAGATAATCAAAATGGGTTGAAAAAAATATAGATTTAACTTTTGTAAGAGCAAATTTTCATAGTTCAGTGAAATGCCAAGACTCTTGCGATCATCATTGAAACTGAAGGCAGATAACTTGTACACGGATAGAGTACAGAGATATCGAATCCCAAAACATTATTAAATTTTCAGATCTAAATCGAGAGATAATTGCTCCAACATCTAGAGCTAAATTAGGTGAGCTTAAACTTTCAGATCTAGATTTAGACCCGGAGAAGAGAGCTCCCAAATTTAGATCGTGAGAGAAAAAAAAACAAGAAAAAAACAAAATGACTCAAACAACATCAACAGGAGGGAAGGGTGAGACTAGCTCAAAACCTCCCATGGTTGAAGTTTGAAGAAGATGATAGAGAGAAAAGAGAGAGATAATCGCTTCAAGATCTAGAGCTAAATTAGGAGAGCTTAAACTTTCAAATCTCGAATTATATCAGGAGAAGGGAGCTCCCAAATCTATATCGTGAGAGAAGAAAAAATAAGAAAAGAACAAAATGACTCAAACAAAATCAATAGGAGGGAAGGGTGAGACTAGCTCAAATCCTTCCATAGCTGAAATTTGAAGAAGATGACGGAGATAAAAGAGAGAGGGAGAGAAAAAACTTTTCGGCTTCTACCGTTTTTAGATTTCATGATCATGATCCTGAAAAAGCTTACTGATGGGTAATCCAAATATTAATTAATTAAATTGTTGACATGTATAAGATCTCGGTTACAAAACCAACTCAAAGTGCATACATCACGTATATGCAAATTGGAACAAGAAGTCTGAGTGCAAATAGATGGTAAGTGTAAAACATGCTAAGTTTATTGTTCGAGTAAGTTTAAGCATAGATCCCTTCCACGAATTACAATATGTTCGGCTCCGAATAATCTTGATTCTTAATGGCCAAAATTTATCGCAATTAAATGAATAGGTAGAGGTACAATTATAATTATTACTGTGGTCGTACTATTGCTATTATCTTAATGGCCAATATTTATCGCAATTAAATGAATAGGTAGAGGTACAATTATAATTATTACTGTGGTCGTACTATTGCTATTATTGTTATTCTTTTGCCAAAGAGCTACAATCAATTGGGTGTATAATGCTTGCATAATAACTGAGTAGTAATCTGTGTAGTGGACCACAAATTTTGCGCGACAATCACTGACTAATTAATGATCCGAAAGGCGAAATTTTTTTACTTTCATTATTCACTTGTAGGCCTTGAAATCCATGTTCTATCTTTTTAATAGGGGGAAGAAAAGAAAAAGATAAAGTAGACTTTCATTTATTTTGAGCATGAATGCCTTACAGATTGAGCAATATCTGCTGTTGGTTAAGACAATGTCTGGCGATATGCATAATGTGTCTATATGTTCCATTTCTCCAATTTCAATTTTTCATCAAATGATGGCCAAATGATCATGTTTTTTCCTCTGAGTTTCGGGAAGTTCCCGATCTTGTGAAAAGGCACATCCATAGATAGTGTTAGCGACGGAGCTGGGATTTAGGTTAAGACGGAGAACTTCGACAATGAAAAAAGGGGTTAATATCATAAAAAAACCCCAAATTAGTACACATGTCACAAATTTACCCCAGATTAATTTTTTTACCACAAAAAACCCCAAACTTGTACATTTATGATTAATTTACCCTCCGTTAAATTGGATTAATACTACGAAAAACTATAAATTGATAAGTTTATGACAAACAAAGAGATAAAACCCTACACTGGTACACCCGTCAACTAAAATGTGTTATCCAACTCAGCAATTTGATGATAAAATTTAACGGAAACTGACGAAGGGTAAATTTGTCACAGGTATACTGGTTTGGGGTTTTTTGTGGTCAAAAAATTAGTTTATGGTAAATTTGTTACGGGTGTACCAATTTGGAGTTTTTTGTGATATTAACCCATGAAAAAATTACACATGCTAGAGAATTAGTAAGTTTAAAAAATACAAATCGCAATTTGGAATTTTGCAAATCTTTCCTTGAACTTTTCTATATGAACCTAAACAAGTATATGGACAAGAAAATTATTTTTCTCTTGATTACTATAGATTAATAAACTACATGTAATTTTATGATCATGTCTAACAAGAATTTTTCCATTACTATAGTCAATTAATGATTGCTTTCGTCCATATAAACACAACGCCTTTTAAGAATAGAAAGTTTTATCCGAATAAGATAAATTACCGTACGTACAAACCACTTATATATATAATCATGATTTCTTTCAAGGATAATACTAAGGCTCCGTTCGTTTTGCAAAAAACGTGATGTTTTTTAAAAATGTTTTTCAGAAAGTCATTTTCTAGGAAAATGGTATAGAAAATCCTCATTGCACTCCTTTTAATATATTTTTTTTAAAAAAATCGAATTTTGAATTATTTTTATTTTTGAATTTCGAATTTTTTAAATAATTTTTAATATTTCTTTTTTTCTTTCTTGCTTCCTCTGCCGGTCGCCGGCTGTCGCTATGTTGACCAAGAAAACCAACCTTGTCTCTACGGTCTCTCTCATCAATATCACAAAAAATAGATAAAATCTTGTCATAGTATTTATCTTGGTCGTGCACGTCATTTTTCATAATTTCAAAAATATTTCAACATGATTAAGAAAAATCTCCTAATTAAAGAATGGTCTCTATTACCAAAAACTCCAAACTTGTGTACCCGTGTCACATTTATCTGTACTAATTTTTATGTCATAAAAAATCTCAAACCGGTATACCCATACCACATTTACCCTAAATTGAGGCACCCGTGCCACATTCCCCCACAAAAATCCCAAATTTACCACAATCTAGGGTAAATATGACACTAGTATATCAATTTAGAATTTTTTTTTGTGACACAAAAATTAATTTGGGGTGAAGTGGCGCGGGTGTATTAATTTGAAGTTTTTGGCGGTATTAGCCATAAAAAAAATAAATGAAATTATATCAATTCGTATCAGTTTCAAGTTAAATTGTGTCAGGTCGGATACGTATTCTTTTAGTAAATTCGTATCTTGTCCTATTCATGTAGGAAATTGCTGGTTCTAATGTATTAGATCCTTACTGTGTATACACCATGTCCTGGTATAGATATCAGAATCAGAAAAGGAAAACAGTCTACTTTATTGGTTAGATTTTTTAGCCAAGTAGAAAACCACATTAAAGATCCAAACTTACTCAAATTTCCCCTTTGTTTGCAAATCAATATTTTCTGTACACACTCCGAGTTCTTGAAATCCAATCTAGCTCCAGCATCAAGACATTTTCTCGTTCAGCTCATTTTCCTTTCAATATTTAAGCTAACATACACAAGACATTTTTACTCTATTCTTAATATTGTAACTTCGCATTATGTCTCGGATTAAAATAGAGCAGCTGTTGCTACGAACTTATAATTAGTAGCGGGTTGTATTTGAGAGTTGTCGCTATGAACTTGTTGTTAATAGTGGGTTGTATTTGAGACTTGTTGGCAATGAACTCATCTTATCAAGAGAAAAAAACTCCACAATTTGAAAAATGTCCTTTCAATTTAAACTTGACCCGACCCAAATATGCCTCCACCTTAAACATATGGATTTTCCCGAGTTAGGTGATAAATTTGCCTTAATTTCTACTATATATGAATCAAACCCAACGAGAATCTCAATATCAAGTCATTAGAAATTTAATTTTTCTAATCCACTTATTGAACATGCATTTTATAACTTTTCTAATAAAGTTCCTTTGGCTCCAGATCCGATTCCTTGTAATTGATGTATCCATCAACACCGGCAAAAGTCCGACGGAAAATTATTATTAATTTCTCCTCCATGTTGAAAACAAAAATTAAAAAAAAAAACCCTCCTACGAAGTTAAAAATTCGTGGAATATTTATTTGTTTTTAGAAACTTATAAGTATGGATTTGGAATATGTAGATGTCAATCGTCCGCAACACTCTTTGACCAACTAACATGGCCCAAGTTTAGTGCAACCAACGATGACATGGAAATGAAGAATGATTGCATTCCCAACTGGAGTAAAGCATCATGAAGGCATCACTTTGACTGAAAGAAACCCCAGAGAATCGGAGTACTACTCCCTCAAGACAATTTTACATAATATGTGTTTACCTGTTTAATCTGGGGCTTATTATTCTTCAGTAATTAGCTCGATTGTTTTCTAAATAATCTCATCACTTTCAACCCATTATCGCACATTGGTTTTCCTATAAATACTCGCGCATATTGGCGTGCACATGTACGTTCGTGTCTTCAAAATTACAGGCGTCGCGATTTCTATAGAATAACATGTTTTTGGACAGTCTAGGAATTTTTGAATGAAGAAAGTAAGATGAAAGAGATCTCCCCCACTAGTGGGAAAGGATAGACATATGCTTTGCCCTTTTCCTTCCTCACAAGAAAGTTTGGTCGATTGACAAAGAGCTAAAGATATCAATTTGCCACCCAAATGCACCAAACCACAATAATCAAAATAAAAAGAAAAAGGAAGAAAAAGCAGTAGTATAAAATATGCATGTCTATGACAACTTCAGATCTTCTACCTAATGGGGGAATTGAAAAGGCAATGCTTTTAGAGAAGAAAAGCTAATGTTCCATACGTACACAAAGTTGAATTCCCAGGAGAAAGACTTACCCTTTTGTCGAAGTTCCTAGCTAGTCTTCAATTCCATTTGCAAAAGGGCCTGTCCATGCTTATAAAGAAGCTCAGATACGTACATATAGAAGCTCATCTTCTTGGGCTAGTGTGTTTGTTTGTCCCTCGTTAAATGGCCGAGCGGGAGAGCCTGAGTTGCTTTCTCATTCTGATTGTTCTGGTCGTGGGTTCGGAGATTCATTGGGTTTCGTCCACCAGCACCGATGAGACGGAGTATGTGTCAGCTGTTGGCGACCCAGGAATGAGGCGAGATGCGCTGAGGGTGGGAATAGAGTCATGGAACCAATGCAATGAGGTCGGTGAGGAAGCTCCTCACATGGGAAGCCCGAGAGCTGCTGATTGCTTTGACATTTACCGAGCCATTCCTAATAGAGATGGTCAGTCTCATTTTTCTTTCTCAGTTTCATTTGCATCTCCTTCTCATTGATAAGAATCCTGCTTTGTGTGCCTCTGGTGTTCTTCTGGTTTGTGTCCTTCGTTCACTTTGCTCAGTATATCCTGGACCGAGCAGCTTAAGTCATATGATAAAGTGTTCGTCTGTCGATTTTTGTGGTTATTAAAACATGTTTTGCTGTTTTTCTTTAATGTGACATTCTCGTATGTGGAGGAAAATGACTCCTACATTTGGTCTGTATCTCCACGAGTGTTCAAATGCAAATAGTAGGGAAATGTGCTTTGTTAGGGAAGCACAGTCATGTAAGCACTTGCTCAATTACACTAATAATATTCTGGGTTTGTATTATTCTACCTGATCTCTGCCCAAAGAAAGTGACTCTCAGATTTGATAGTGCGTCACCCAAATGCAGAGGTACCTATTCATTTCCTGGATTTTAGCACAATGTAGTTAATCCGTGAAATTGGTGTGTATTGCAAACCTCTAATTCTTCATCCACGACAAATTACTTGTTCTGCTTTCTTCTTCATTTTTCTCTCTTTGATTTGAGCAACCATATATTAGTTAAATTCTGGTGACAGCATTTTCCAATTGCACCTCATTTTGATGCAGAAAAGAATTGCTCCTTGTGCAAATTGCTGCCCTACATACTGGTCCACAGGGTCACGGAGGTAGACAACAGGCTTGGAGTTGGAGACCCCTTCCCAGGACTCCATGCCGAAGCCCTGTTAAATGCAGACCTCTACGCCGCGCTCAAGGAGCTCTACTTGGGCGCGAAATGCCAGGTCGAGGACACCCCGAACCCATGGCAGTTCTGGATGATCATGCTCAAGAACGGCAACATGGACACATTTGCCTCCAGGTGCCCGAAAAACGGGCACAAGGTTGGACCCTTTGGCCCCGACACCGCCTTCCCTTGCTTTGGCAAGGGATGCATGAACCAGCCGCTGATGTACCATGACTACACAACTTTGCAAGGCCCTAATTTGACTACTCTTAAGGGAAGGTTTCATGGGTCATGGGACTTGGATGGTGTTTTCAGTGGCATTGGTAATAATAATTCATATTATTCTGTGACATGGGAGAAGGAAATTGGGAAGGGCAAGAGTTGGGCATTTCATCATGTCTTGAGGACTTCAAAGAAGTATCCATGGTTGATGCTTTACCTGAGATCAGATGCCACCAGCGGGCTCTCTGGTGGGTATCACTACCCCACCAGAGGAATGTCCAAAATTGTGAGCACATCCTTTTTCCTTCCATTTCAAGTCATCATAAGGAAACCAATGAGACTCCATTTGGTACTGCTAATACTGTTCTTGAGGTTTTACTGAAAGCAACTTCTTTTTGGTCGCACGAGAAACAGATTTGAGCATAGTCCATTTGATAAACCATTTCAATCATGTCTGGTGCAACTATTCTTGAAAGCAAAAAGATTCTTATTTGACCAACTTTAGCGGGTACTCAAACCAATCTTATCATTATGTTTTCGTTACAATACACAGATCCCAGAATCACCAAACTTCAAAGTGAGGTTCACTCTCAATGTGCTCCAAGGTGGGGGTCCAAACAGCCAATTCTACCTAATTGACATCGGAAGCTGTTGGAAGAACAGTGGCCAACCTTGCAATGGTGACGTGACCTCTGATGTCACCAGGTACAGTGAGATGATCCTGAACCCCAACACCAGCGCCTGGTGCCGCCCAGACAACCTCGGTGTGTGCCCCCCTTACCACACCTTCCGGAGTGGAACCCGGGTCCACCGCAACGACACAGCCCGGTTCCCCTATGCCGCATACCATCTGCACTGCTCACCAGGGAATGCCGAGCGCCTTGAGGAGCCCTACAGCTTGTGCGACCCTTACAGTAACCCCCAGACCCAGGAGATCCTGCAGATTCTGCCGCACCCTGTGTGGGGCGAGTACGGGTACCCGACAAGGCAAGGGGAGGGTTGGATTGGAGACCCTAGGACATGGGAATTGGATACTGGGAGGTTGTCTCAATCACTTTACTTTTACCAGGTTCGATTTTGTTTTTCTCGGATTCACATTTTTGGTTGTATAGACAAATAGACCTGATCATTAACCTGGCAACCCGCTGAGCCTGTCCAAGCTTGCCGAGCCAACAAGGCCCTAGGATAAGCAAACATACATTGCTGACCGTCTTTTTCTGCTTAGCTTCAATGTGTGACGTGTGAACGTATTGCAGGATCCAGGGACACCAAGTGCTAGGAGGCAATGGATGTCTATAGATTTGGGGACTGAAATATTCAAAGATCCTGATCAGGTTGCCGAATGGATCATTAGTGATTTTGATATTGTTGTGCCCAAGAAGATGGTCAGAACATAGTCTGCATTTTCTGTCCTTTTTCCTTTTTCGAGAGTGAGAAAAACTGAAGGGAACAGAGAAAGAGTTTCAACCCAAAGGGTTGTGTAACGTTGAGACCAAACCAGAGAAACACCGAACTTGCAAGTGAGTTCTGTTTCTCTTCTTTTCACTGAAGCAAAAAGCAAATGCATGACTCGTTCCGAGCATCAAACTTGGTTTCTTAACTCGCTAATCACATGTTTAGGTGCAGATTAATCTGACAGTTTCTTGGTGGAGTGTGTGAAAGAGGCTAGGAATCTTCAGTCACTAAAGAATCTGTGGCTGGTGCAAGAAAGTTTATGCTTACAAATCTGTATTAATTTGCCAATATCAGTTTTCATTTACATTAGTTTGCTCCCTCTGGTTTACAAATCCTTCCTAGTTCGCCCTCTTTGCCGAATCCGATTGAAGAGTTGACAACGATTGACTCTTCCATTCATGCCAGAGGGCAAACTTTCCTAATTACAGCGCCTAATCTCGATCCCAAACTGACTTAAATTATTTGGTCAAACAACAATTTGCCGGAAAATGCTGAATGGATGATCGAACTTCTGTCGCATTCAGACATGAAAAAGGCGGGGCGAACCAAGGCGGATTCGCCTAGGAAGCAAACTGAAACAAATGAACATGGAAGAGAGGCAAAAGTGCCTGCCCTCAAAGGAACCATGATACTGGTTCCAATCTGCTCAAAGATTGCCCCATGTCTTTTCAATCCTGGACTATTAAACTGGACCGGCTCTTCATCCTCGCCGGTCAATTCATGAAGGTTTAATGCCCATCTACAACGCTGGACTTTCGCAAAAGCCATTTCCAGAAAGCCCACAGTACACCATTTTTGTATACATTCACATTGAATCTGCTAAAAAGATAATGCTAATTAGGCCCAAATACTGTTTTTTTTTCTCCTTGGAGGATCTTTTATAGAATAGGATTTGTTCAGAGCTGTGTTCTTTTGGAATACAAGAGGTATTTAGACTAGTGATCTGAGCCTGTTTCTCCTCCCAGATCAAAAGTTCGGACATGTTTACTAAATCGCGCGCTTCGAGCGTGATCTCTCGAGATTTCTATTTATTCGAGTCTTATATTGAAAAAGGTTGGCTCAATCAAGACCGGCGGTCTCTAATTCCTCTGCAATTTTTCTTGTTTCATTAAGCATAGTTAAAATGCAAATTCTATTCTTCAGAAAAACAGGGGTCGGACCTCTACATTCAAGAAGTCCACATGAAATAGAGGCGGTCGACCCATTCCAGATGATGGGTCAAAATTCACGTTAACTGTAATTTGGGGAGAGGCCCAGTCAAGAATTCTAGACGATTTGCCCAAAAAAATGGAAGATTAAATTAATATTAGAATTTTAGGGGCCTAATTGAACAAAATGATAGCAGGTGTTTTATTGACCAAGAATTGGTAAAATTAGGGGCTAACATGAGAAATTTTCTTAATGAAAATGGTTCATCAATATCATGATATTACTGTCATAATATCATCTAGGAATAAGTGCATTAGAGACCATTCCACCACCACTTATCGGGCAAGGACTACTAGCGAATAGGAGGCCATTAGCCCTCCTCTCTCTCTCTCTCTCTCTTTCTCCCTCTCTGAGTGTGTTTTCTCTCTCTGGTTTCCTTTTTTTTTTTAATCTAATTTGAATTAAATTTAAGAGGAAAAAGGTATCGTTTGCAATCTTTTAAAAAAAATGGCCATGTAGGAAGGAGAAAGTAATAAAAAAATCATGTTAACATATTGCGTTAGCCAAATTAAATACAGCTAACAAAGGGACTTAATTGTATTAATTTGACAATGTTATGATTTGATTGCATTTTTTAAAAGTTTTAGAGTTCAATTACATTCCACGATAGGTTTTCAGACATTCGATGTGCTTATCTCTACTACCTAATATAATGTAGCAATCTGTGTCAAAGGGCTAATTGCAAATGCTATATTTTGAATGGATTTTACAAGGCTATAATTTCGACATTTATGGTACTTTTACTAATGCAATATTAGAGGCCAAGGGTTAAATCTTGTATACAAAATGCAATCGACCTTTTAAACCCTTTGAATAATACAACAGAAGTGATAACTTTTTTTTTTTTTGGTTCAACAAGTAGTGTCCGGATCAGCTTTCGTGCACTTTCAGTCCTTAGCAAGTCCACCTTTATAGGAGTCTCGATGGCGAGCTCCCACACATTGCGGCATTCAAGGTTTTACTCTTGGAGCGCTTCCGGCGAGGCTTGAACCCAAAATCACAAGAGGAGGAGCAAAACTCCATCGCATCCTAATCAACGCCTTGTTGGTAAAAGTGCTATAGTTTCGATTGCATATCCTGTCCCCTACCGAATTTCCTAGGCCCTCTTTGTTTACACTTAACAATTAACAAATAGTAGTTTTTCTTTCCCTTTCCTGCCAAATTTCAACTTATTATTCAAATTAATTTCAGGAACTAATTTTAAAGGGCCACCCCTTTTTTTGGGGTTGTTTCAACACCTTCGTGTGCTTTCACAATGACTTGGGGTCATCTAGAGAAAGAGAGATCCAAGGAGTTTTCAAACATACGAAACACAACTTCCACTATTTTTCCATTCAAGAGGGAAATGACTTTGTTGTCACACGTAAGGAAAACACCAAACTTCCACTTCTCCTGCTGTACGACAGCCTCTTTGCATTATTATTGATCACGAAACTTCCTTCCTCTTTCTCTCATCATGATCATGCTTGTTGTCTCTCACACCCCCCAACAAAAACAAAAAAACAAGAGTAAATATCACGAAAAACTCTAGATTAATATACTTATGACAAATTTACCTCAAACTAATTTTTGACTACAAAAAATCCAAAACTAGTACACCTGTGACAAATTTACCCTCTATTGGTTTTCTTTAAATTTTACCGTCAAATTGCTGAGTTTGATGACACGTGGCAGTTGACGGGTGTACTAGTTTTGGATTTTTCTCTCCATTTGTCATAGATGAACCAGTTAGTGATATTTTCGTGGTATGAATCCAATTTAGCGGAAACTAACGGGCGGTAAATTTGTCACAAGTGTACCAGTTTGAAGTTTTTGGCGGTAAAAAAATTAGTTTGGGGTAAATTTATCACAGGTGTATTAATATAGGGTTTTTTGTGATTAAAAAATTAATTTGAAGTAAATTTATCACAAATGTATCAGTTTGGGATTTTTCGTGATAATAACCCAAAGAAAAATCATTAACTAGGTTTTTACGTATGTATGGACTCCAGCATAATATTGAAATTATTAACCATCTTTCATGTCTCTATCAAATTATCTAATCTCGATGCTCCTGGATTTTGACCTGATATGCCTTAATAATAGTTAACCAATAGGCAAATTCTCATAAATTCAACTTTGTGCAGCGTAAACTTAAAAGAAAGTTAACCTGCATCCACCTTACCCAATATTATTTTCATATCTCTCTACCAATTGATCAAAGTGTTGGGTCCCCTAGAGAACAGAAAAAAACTAATTTTGAGGGTATGTAAGTTTCCATGGAAATGAATGTCCAATGTCTGCAGCTTCCTCTGCCCTGCCAAGGACATAAAGAATCACCCATCTTCCAACCTAATTCTGAGGCGTCAATGGCAATTTGGAACCCCATCACAATCAAGTTGGGCAGTCTTGATCATTGATCATTTCCAAAATCATTTCTTGGTACCCAGTCTCTTTAACCCCAACCCATTTCCTCAATTTATAAAACTGCAAATATTCTAGAACAATCATAGTGCATAAAATCTTAGATGGGATAGAGATTGTCATACACTAAGAGTGATGAAACAAGAATCATGCATTCTTTTCCCATTCATAATCATGTCTAGCCATCATGACTTCCAACTAGTTTGCCAAGATGTTGATCCATGTACCATCACAGGATTGTCAATTTAGAACATTAGCCAATGATGTGTTAGGTGTGTGGATCAATAGTGATTCCACTTCTATTTTTGCTTTTTTCCCCTCCACCTTCTACATAATTTGATCCATTGAAGTACCATGGCTCAATCATGGAGACTTGGCCCCCCCAACCTTAACCCCAATTTGGTTCCAGCTTCCAAGACTACCAAACCATTAGAGGACCCTTCCAACAAGAAACAATGAGAAAGCTAGCAATGAAAAAATTTATATTATTCATGCAATTCGATATGTTGACGTAATATCACTAATTCAATTGCAAGCATGTCCAATAAATATATGCTTTTTTATAATTTCATATTCAATCAACATGAACACGTGATTGACCGAGTATAGAAGTAAGTTGCACGATATACATTTTCACGACCGTCGACTGCGTTGGTCATGATCACTCAATGTAATCCTCGAAAGTCAGTATTGAAACACCGTGAATAACCAAGAAAGGAAGAATGAAGAAAAGACTGATAAAATCCAAAGCACTTGCTAGTGCAGCACCACCCCCACAAGAAAATTACATAAAGGGAATAAAAAAGAAGTGTTATAGGCAAAATTGTCAAAAAAGTCCTAAATCTATTGCATTTTTACCAATTCAGTCATAAAACTTTTAATCGTTTCAATTGAGTACTAAACATTTTCATTTTTTGCCAATTAAGTCTATTCGGCCAATTTTGACTAGAAATTGTTACATGGATGTCAGGTGTCTTACGTGGCACGGCCGGTGTTAACGTAACCATTGTTAATAATATGTTTAATATTTTATAATTTTTCCTTTTTATTTTATTTTCTTCTTTTCCTTCTTTACTTTTTCCTTTCTCTCTTTCTTCTCCTTTTCTCTTCTTTTCTTTTTTCTTTTTGCTTTTTCGATGGCCGGCAGAGGGAAAAAAAGAAAAAAAAAGTAAAAAAAGGAAAAGAGAAGAAAAGAAAAAAGGAAAAATAAAAAAATTAATAAAAAAATTCGAAAAAAATGTTATTAAAAATTGTCCATGTCAATACCGGCTATGCCACGTCGGTCGTGCCATTTAGAACGGCCGGTGTCTACGTCAGCAATTTTTAGCCAAATTACTCGAATAGACTCAATTGGCAAAATGCGAAAAAGATTTATGACTCAATTGGCACAATTAAAATGTTTAAGATCGAATTGGCACAAGTGCAATAGATTTAGAATTTTTGGACAATTTTCCTAGTGTTATAGCTAGCAATGGCCACAGCGCCGTGTTGGACTAAGCCCATTTGAAGAAGGGTCGTGCCATTCTTGGCTCGGCTCATAAATGTGTTCAGCCTTCACGGGCCGTACCAGGGCCGACCATTCGTAGTTGAGTCGCAATACAAAATTAAGGAATAAAATCATTTGAGAAACATAAAATATTCAAAGAAAATGTTTCACTTTAAACTTTTTATAACGAGAAAGACCATCTTAAGTGCCTCGGGTCGTTGAATCCACGTCAGGAAGTACCCATTCATTAGGTAAAACGCGAGTCAAAATGCGAGCTGATCGTCCCAATATGGAACTCCTCCTATTCGATAATATGGCAAACCGAACATGTACATAGAAGAAAGTGGACACAAAAAGAAAGTTGGGACATCTTGCTCGAGCTTCTTCAGGGAGCCATACATGTTGCGCCTCTATGGCGGCAAAACATGATGGCAAGCAAAGTGGTTTGCAAAAGCACGCATCACTCAAAGATGAATCCAAACGAAGCAACGCCTTCGTCGGATTCCAACTCGTCACAACTTCAAATCGGAAATGCCATCAAAAGAAAGAAAAAAAATCTTGTTGCCTCGCCATTGCCACGAATCATCTTCCTTCAAGTGGTGTTCCTTTGACCGAGCAGATTCGAGATGCTTGGTTGGTTCGTTCTGACAATTGAAAGAAGCAGACACCCATTGAAATGAAATGATGTTGACCCTCCTTTTTCCACCGGTATCTGAATCAGAATTTACCTTTCGGATGCAAAAAGGGAGTTTTCGAGATTCCATCGATAACCATCGGATTAAAAAGAAAATTATCTTTTGCCGTTAATGATCGAATTCTTTAAATTCTTGTGCGTTGTTACATTCTGTACGAGTCATCATAAGTAAGAGGTTAAACTATTTCATCTAAGGATTCGTGCGGACCTCGACATTCCTTGGACATTAAAAACACAGAGGGTATTCCCTCCTCTTGGAGAAAACAAAAACACAAAAAGAATTTGGGGGCCTGGGTGTGCGGATATCGACACTAGCCCACCGGGTATATACACCTAAATAGGCGAGGTAGCCCCAGTCAGATGCTTAGGATTCCTCTGCTTTGGTGAGGTACCCTCATGTAATCACCACTGAGGATTTAAGGCTGGCACCTGATTACATTTTTGCTGTTAACGATAGAATTCTTTAAATTCTTGTGCGTTGTTACATAGTGTATGAGAATTACGAAAGAATGCAAGAATCCGCGACTCATTGGAGGACTGCTCAGAACTAGATGCTGAATAGAAGTTTCTTTATGAATGAACAAGGGCAGTTTTGTTTTGGCAGTAGTGGAGACAACGTACGACCGACGTTGTTCTCTCTCTTTGCTCTCTCTTTGATTTGATCAGCGCTTGGTAACTGAGGAGATTGAAGGAAGTTTCTATCAGGAGAAATTTCTCAGAAAGCTGCGCGAGCAACGAGAAAATTTCTACCCAGAAGCGTTCCATTTTCCAGGAAATCATAAGAAATGTTGAATAAGTCCATAACGAGCAAGAATCTTTACCCCTCGCATGTAATTTGAATTAGTTCCTCCCTGTCCTAAACTAACCACCCTCTTACTAGTCTCGCCTCGATGAACATTGCCGGCGATGCGATATCCTAAAATTGGCTTTCGGAACAGTACCGTCTCCGTTCTGTTCAGCTCGGTTATGGATGCAGAAAACTATAATTGCCCCGAATATCCAACCCCGAATTCTACCAGAGCTGAGTTCGAGAATTAGAACACCAAGAAGTGCAGATTTCCTTCCGTTTCAATGATAAACTCTATCGATGAGACGATGATGATTTCGACAGGGAATTTTTAGCTCATACGCCCAACAGAAGATCGAACGCGACTATGTAAATAAAACAGTACGCAAAACCCCGCGGGTGCAGGGATGTGTGTCTTGAGAATGGAAATTGTAGACCGATGATCCAACATATCAAAGAGCAAAAAACGTTTCTGCCATAGTGACATAGCTATGATTCCTCTCATGAGCTTTATATTTCAATAAAAGAATTTCGTATATATGAACAAGAACTAGAAAACTTGAAGATAGCAAGAGCTCCGTTATTACCCCTACAAAACGGACACGGGGATCGACATCGGTACCGAGACGTCGTTGCCGAAACCTGAATCCCTATTCGCAGCAGAGTTTCCCGCGAATGCGTATCCCACCCCCAAGCCTCCAAAGTGCAATGACGCGTTCTCGCACCTCTGAAATACTCTCGCTAGCGATGCCGCCTTCCTTCTCGCCCTTTTCGTTCCCGTGAAAAGCAAAGACTGCAGCAACCCGGCCAAAGACGGCGCCTTCACCACCCTCTCCGTGGCAGCTGAGCCACCGCTCCGGCACAGCTCGAGCAATGCCGCAACTGCATTCTCTTTGCCCCGTGGGGTCCCGCAACGCATCATCCCAATCAAACCCGAGACAGCCGTTTCCTCCTTTCCAACCGCTTCCGCCCCCATCGGATGCCTAACAATTAAGGCCAATGAGCCTGCTGCTTCCTCTGCAACCACCTCGTTCTCCAAAGCACCCACCAGTGCATTTACGGCGCCCGCCTCAATCATTTTAAGGCAATTTTCCGTGTGTGTCGAGAGGTTGAACAGGGCAGTAACGGCATCCTTCTTTCCTCTGGGCGTCCCCTCTCTCAAGAGTCCTGCTAGGGCCTCAACTGCGCCGCCCTCATCTGCTATTCTCTTCTTATAGTCGTGAACGGCTGAGAGGCTGAACAATGTCGCTGCAGCATTTTCCCTTGCTTCTGTGGTTCGGCCGATCCTCAAGACGTCCACAATAGACTGCAAACATCCTTTCTCATCAATGATCCTGCTTTTGTTCTTGTCGTATATCGACAAGTTAAGCATTGCCGTGACGGAAATCTCCTGGGCAATGGGACTCGAAGATGAAAGCAATTCCCGCAAATGGGGAATCGCCCCAGCTTCGGCAATGCAAGCTCGGTTCTCCTTCCCCGTCTTAGCTAACAATCGGATCTCTTTGGCAGCGATTGTCCTCGCAGCCTGAGGCCCACTTGCCAGCTGCTGAACGAGAAGTTTTGCCGTGGCTTTATTAGCTTCAAGGGCAGCTTTGGAGGGCGAAGCCGCCGGAAAAGCTTCTGCTGATGTTTCTATCATCTCTGGGGGGTCATAGGGGACTCCATGAGCTGTGCACCACTGCATAATCAAGTTCCTCAAAGCCCGGTTCGGGACAAGACGGTTGTGAGCAAGCATTTGCCCCGTCTTGGGACAGTTACAGTGCCCTTCTTCCATCCACCTGGCTATCGATCTCCGATCGTATGTCTGGCCCGTCGAGACGATAACTGGGTCCTGCATCAAATCCAACGATATCGGACAACAAAAGTCCTTAGGAACTGTGATGAAAGTATCAGCAATTTCCTGCGTGATCAACCCTCTTCTCTGCTTCTTCTTATTTCCGCATCTCATTCCAACATCGTCCTCCTCGAATCCACACAAAAGAAACCTGCAAAAGCGGGTAAGCGCAACGAAACCTTGAAGGATTGAAGCCGGAGGCTCGATGTCCCCTTCATGGTTCATAATCTGTTCCTCCAAGAAATCGATCTCAGCCCTAAAACTCTTTGCGTTGCTAATGCCCAAATTATCCACAAAGAAAACCCGCAACTCAACTGGATTAGGAATCCGCCCGTTCTCAAACTCATTCAGAAACGCGAAAAGCTGAACTCTCAGCTCCTCATCATGCTTATCAACATAAAACCGGGCCCGTCTCGATTGCTTCTGCAACAACTCGAGTTGCTCCCTAACATCCTCGCTCAATTCGAGGTTCTTCAGCGGGAAAACATCCAAGAGCGTGGATATCTCCTGATTCAGATCGTGGAAATGACCCGAAATCGAATGGTTCTGGAGCAAGAGCCACAGCTTACTCGATTCCGTGCAGTAATCGAGCAATATCTTCGACCGGTACAGCAGCAGATACAGCTCCTTCAAGCAGAGGACCGCGGCCGAAGGCAAGTCCGACCTCCCATCCCGCAGGAACTCCAGGAGCACGACGAAGACCTCGATCTTGCGGACCAAGGACCGCGAGTTCATGCGCTGGAAGAAGAGCGACCTGCTCGCGTAGCACGACACCAGCTCGCCAGAGATGGAAGCCAGGGTTTGTATGAGGGCCACGTCGCTGAGGTCCACCGGGGCCAAGAAAGCCTCCAGGCACGGCGACCTCCGCCGCCTGAGCGACGAGAAAATCGCCGCCGTCGCCATTTCTTGATTCACCCAAAAAAGACACGAAATTTAACGAAATTACCGAACAATTCCCACCTCCCGCGAGATGGGTAGGCAGGGTTTCCGCTCCCTCGCTAACGCTCAGGACCAGATCTTGAGAAAAACAGAATCCGACCCACCAACAAGAATCAAGAAAGAACCTTATTCTCCAATTCTTGACCCGAAATCAAGATGACCCAAATTCCCAGGCACGACCGGGGAATCCGCTATTGCCGGCAAAAGAATGAATCCAACAATATCAAGAACAAGAAAGAGCAAGAACAAGAGAGAGAGAGATTGAGGGGGTAGATGGGGAGCCAAGAACAGAAACGCTTACAGTCTTTTATGGTTTAGCTGTTTGTCGTTGATGGGGGTTTGGTGGACTGGGTGAGAAAGAGAGAAGAGAGAGGCGGGGTTGAATTGAATCTTTCGGGGAGCGGAAGGGGCTCTCGATTTTATCAAGTCAAGGCCAAGAAAAGCAAGAAAGCAAAGAAGCGATCAAAGAAAAGGAGAACAACAGGGAGGGAGGAAGAGGGATTGAAGATTTCCGTGGGAGTAGCAGTAGGAGGGATGAAATGCGCGTATTGGGAGGGAGGGACGAAGGAAGGAAGGGAGGAAGGCGAGGCTGACTTTCCAATGCGGCCTCCTCTGGTTTTTTCTTGGTGACGACTTAACGACGGCCATCATGTCCATTCATTTAGCTTTTCCCTAGCTTTTTTTTATTCTAGCTGTTTTTTATTTGGGTCAGAATGTTTTTTTTTAATTCTAACTTGGTTTTTGGCGTTTTTGTTAGAGTTAATAGTACGAAAAACTCCAAACTGATACACACATGATAAATTTATCCCGAACTATCTCAAATTGGTACACCCATCACAAATTTACCCTCCGGTAGTTTCCCGTTAAATTTTATTGTCAAATTGCTAAGTTGGATGAGACGTAACAGTTGACAAATGTATCAGTTTGAGATTTTACCCATCCGTTTGTCATAGGTTTACCGATTTTTTATTTTTGGTGGTATTAATTCAATTTAACGGAGGGTAAATTTATCACAAGCGTACAAGTTTAGGGTTCTTGGTAGTCAAAAAATTAATTTTTGGTAAATTTATCACAGGTGTACCAATTTGTGATTTTTGGTGGTCAAAAAATTAGTTCAGGATAAATTTGTTACAAGTGTACTAGCTTGGGATTTTTCGTGGTATTAACCTTTTTTTTTATTTCTAAATATTTTTCTGTCATGGCGGTCATCCAACTGTCTCGAGAAAATAATAAAATAAGACATGTCAGCATTTTCTGTTAGCCTAATTGGACGGAGTTTGCAAATGAACTTGATTAAATCTCATTTGATAAGTTTTAGGATTTGATTGCAGTTTTTTTAGGACTCAACTGCACTTTCGTGACAAGTTGTAGGACTTCTAGTACATTTATTCCTCCTAAATAGCAAGATGGCTATCGAGCATCCGAAATATGTTTACCCCACGATGAATGTCGAGATATGATTTTCAAATGATGATCGAAATTAGTAAATTTCTAGGTGCAATACTAACAAGTTCGTGCAATACCTCGTCCTATGGAATATCGAAATGAACTCTTCGCAAGCATAGGAAATAATCATTTAAAATTAGGATATAGTCCGATTCAATATCGGTATGACACGAGTCAGAACTCGCCACACCAAGTAAAATTTCGCTCTAAATTATTGTGAAAAGCAATAATTGATTTGATAGGCAAAATTCAATGACGCCCAAGCCCACGATTTCAAAATTACTTTTTCTTGCCGCAACCAGGCATGTTAATTTTTTTTTTATTTGGTAATTTTTCAGTTTCGAAATTGATGACATCTTTTGATGGTAGTTTGGTGCTTCCTTCAAATGTGAGTTGAGAGTATAATTACCTTTTTGCCTATTTTACCTTCCAAAAAAATTAAAAGTAAAAGCAAGCATTGGATTTGGATTGAAGCGTTGACTAAACAAAAGTCGTGGACCCCACGTACTGTTCTTGGCGCGTGGACAGGTATAGGTCATCCAACTGGCATGTTACCTCGGTCAATCTTTTTTTCTCTTTTCCTTTTTTTTTTGGGGGTGGTGACGGCAATTTTTTGCAGCTTTGCTTTGACTTAGAAAGTCCAAAAAAACATGTGGACGAAAAGAAAATTCCAAGAAAGTAAAATAATTCTATAGTTTTTTTTTTTTAAAAAGTTATTATTTTTTGTTGGTCGAATTAAAATAGTTATTCACTTTGTGTAAGTATGGATTTTTCGGGGGGTGGTGGGTGAAAAAGGAAAGAATTGATAAGCGACGTATCAAGGCGACCCTTCGAAATATCCGGTATTTAATGAGTTTGTTCTGCTGTTAGAAGTACTTATAGTTGGTCAATATCATTAAAAATCACGAAGTTTTAGATCGAGGACATATTTATCTCGAACTTTTTAATTTCTCGTGGGAAGCACTAACTTATGCCCTTAATCCAAGGATCGCTCTACTAAGGTAAACTTGTACAGCTCTCATCTCAACATGTTTAACATTGGAGATCGATACGTCAAAGGACACCTCTTGTAAGTTAATTCCAGTTATATATATAAAATCTAGGAATGATCTCCACATGTTCGTTACGCAATTTAGTTCAATCACGCCCTCTTTATCATCCTCAAAATCTGTCGGGAGCCGCTCCTTATTTATGCCATCTCTCCGGCTATCTCTTCCCGCCCTCAATCAAACCGAGTCATTACACACTACATTTCTCATTGCCCTCATCGAACCGGGTCGTTACACACGTACGCTCGCTCTTCTCTTTCTCTCACTCGATGCCATGTTGTCCGTTGTTATTAATGGAGGTTTCCACCTGCGGTTAAGGCGAGCGACCTCGCATTTGAGGTGATGTGACCAAGATCGGAGGTCGCGCAACTCAAATCCGAGGTTGTGCAACCTAGATTTGAGCTCAATAACTTCCATCAATGGAGGTTCCCACTTGCGATTGAGGTGCGTGACCTCACATTTGATGTCGTGCGACTTGGATGGGAGGTCGCGCAACTCAAATTCGCGGTTGCATGACCCAAATTTGAGCTCAAGAACTTCCCTTAAAGGAGGTTGCACAGTTGGTCACGACCTCCATTGGAGGTACATGGGAGAGTGAGAGCACCTGAGGATGAGCTAGGCACCACGGTTGAGCACCGAGAGTGATATTGGTGAAAATCGACGGTGTGACATCTATGATAACAATAATGGTGATGGTTGGCGTGCATGGAATCACTGATGATGAAGATATAGAGGAATGAGGAAGGAAATAGAAAAGGCAAGAGTTTTTATTTATTTATAAAATATCAAATATAATTGAGCTGGAATTCCACGTCATCGATGACGGATAATTTCATAGACGGTATTAAAAGAGCATGAACTACCCATGTCATTACCTCACTGGTAAGTCCATAAATCAAGAAAAATTTGTTAACATATACATGTGAGATTCCACTTAATTTTCAAACTTTAATTCTAGAAATTAGCTCATACATAAATCCAAAACAATATAAATCAGGATGTTACCATCTTTGAAAATTTCTTATGTCCCATTTAAAATTAATTAACAGCGGACAGTAAATAGAGTTTTACTTTTTGCGTAATTCAGATTCCGCGATACATGCACTTTGATTTTATTTTTTTTTAAATCCTAAACACTTAAAAAGCTTTCCCGCATACAAACTTCGAATGCATTTTTTTTTCCATAATCTCTAAATAATTCGCACTTAAATCCAATTTCTAAACAAAAACAAGGCATGATGGACGAGGAGGGGGAAAAAAAAAAAAGAAAGAAAACCAGAAAAATCCCAGTTGTTCGCGAAGGTTCTACACATCTTGTCGCCCGTGCCACGTGTCGATGGCGATGACGCGTGGCGAACCGGTCCGACCGGAAAAAATCGTCTGCTTCAACCTCAACGCGTCCAGACCTTTGCGAAGACAAGACAGGATAGGGCCACGTGGCCCCTGCTCTTCCCGGGGGCCGACGTTTCCCGGTTAACTACCCCAGCTGCGCAGGTCCACTGCGGCCGCGCCACGTGGCTCCCCAGTCAACGGAAAAAGTCAAAGCGAGGAGCGTTGCCCCCCGCCCATTGGCCAATCCATTTCCCACGGTTCTTTTCCCTTTTCCCATTTCTTCTCTAAGGTTCAAAAAAAAAAAAAAAACCCCGAAACGAATCCCAAATTTGCACCCCCGTTACCGTATTTACTCCGAATTAATGTCCATCGCCTGAAACTAATTTTTCGTGTTACAAAAAAATCTCAATTCGCCAAAATCTCTTTGATTTGGGATGTCTGTTGAAATCTGTTAATTTTCGCACGAAGTGCCCTATTAAATTTCGAGACTCTGCTGAGATCCTAAACTTTTTTTGTGGCACGAATGTTGGTTTGGGTAGATATGGTATTCAATACACCATTGGGTTTTTTCCCGAATCACCAAAACCTTCGATTGGGCGATCCGTTGAAATCTTTTTAATTTTGCGAAGAGAGCCGTCTCCAAATTTCGAAACTCTACTCAGTTCCCAAACATTTTGTGACACGAACATTAGTTTGGGTAAATACGGTATATACTACACCATTGAGTTTTTCGCGAATTGAGATAAATGTGATATGAATGTACCGGTTTGAATTTTTTCGTGGTACTAAAAAATCAAACTATGTAGCACAACATCTTTAGAAAGATCATTCTTAAGAATGGGAAAAAATAGAGAGAGAGAGAGAGGTAAGTGAACGGTGGGCACAAGATTAACGTTGGAATTTTGGTGGGGGATTAGTCAAAAAGGAGGGGGCAGTGACGTGGAGGATTTGGGTGCGTTGGATGTCGGTGTGAATAACAACGCCACCATGATGGCTTGAACATTGTGGTGTGGCGGCTGCCACCTATGCCGCCGGCTCCAACTGTATTATTATAGCTAGCGTTGTAGGCTCGGTCGGCCGTGAACCACGTGGAACATGTCCTTGATGCTTTCTAATTTAAGAAAACAATATCACAAACGTGTTGCCAATTTCTTTTTCTTTTCTTTTCTTTTTTATTTATGAAATCATCATTTTATATCCTGTATACTTTGGCAAATTCAAATTTACATCCTCCCTTAAGAACAATTATCGATATATTCACGTAACACTGAGAATTATTCTCTGACTTAGCCACCATGGGATCCCGATGGCACGACCACCTCGCCTTCTAACTTAGTGCCGGCCGGTCAAAATTAGCGGGATGGACTGAATTTGCATAATTGTAAATTGTTTAGGACTTGATTAGCACTAAAAAAAGGTTTAGAACTCAATAGGTTTAAGACTTTTTTGGAAATTTTCCCCATTTCACTCTACATATTGTTAAAATGCATAAGTGTCAACACACACGGCAAACGACTGTAAAATGGATTTGATATGGAGATAGATAGATTCGGCGTGAAAAATGCATGTGTGCTGACATGTATGGATTTTAACGGGATAACGGAGGGTAGATTTAGATTAGGGACACCGGTTTTGAGATTTTCCGTGAAGTTAAAATTAATTTAGGGTCTGTGTAATGGGTA